GGATGTTGTAAAGGGTAAGCTATGACATTGCACCATCGTCTTCTTATACAAGCGGGCAGTAGGATTTACGTAATTACTTCTCCGCAGTCACTAGTTCTGTGCTACAAACTGCGTGGGACAAATGTGCATTCAAAGCCAAGAATTTTGGAGCTGTTGAGAACACTAAGTTTGGAGCAGTGATGGGGCCATCAGGGAACCTGCAGCACTTGCCGCAAAAATTTCACCTCTCTTTGGGTTTAGTTTTGTTTCCTTCTGTTCCAAGTTGCCTCCACACCCTGACCTGCCCAGTTGTCCATGTTGCTTTTAAAAACACAGTAGAGAACAGTAGTGACTCCGTGCCTGTGTCCTCTTCCAGGTACCTCGTGGCTCAGACCTCGGTAGTTTTGTGGTTACCGTTGCTGTGAGGCTGAACTGAAGATTTGGTTTTAAATAGCTCCTTTCACAGAATCTCCTAGATTGGAAAAGACCTGTAAGACCATCCAGTCCAATCATTAACCCAACGCTGACCAGCCCACCACTAAACCATGTCCCTGAGCACTATAACTACATGACCCTTAAATACCTCCAGGGATGGGGACTCCACCACTGCCCTGGGTAACGCGTTCCAATGCCTGATGACCTTTTCAGTAAAGAAATTCTTCCAAATATCCAATCTAAACTTCCCTTGGCACAACTTGAAGCCATTTCCTCTTGTTCTATCCACTGTTCTTGCCAGAAAACGTCGACTCCCATCTCTCTGCAACCTCCTTTCAGGGAGCTGTAGGGAGCGAGGTCTCCCCTCAGCCTCCTCTTCTCCAGGCTGAACACCCCCAGTTCCCTCAGCCACTCCTCATCAGACATGTGCTCCAGACCCCTCACCAGCTCCGTAGCTCTTCTCTGGACACGCTCCAGCGCCTCAATGTCTTCCTGACACAGGCCAGGATGCTGTTGGCCTTCTTGGCCACCTGGGCACACTGCTGGCTCGTGTTCAGCCGGCTGTCCACCAACACCCCCAGGTCCCTCTCTGCTGAGCAGATTTCCAACCACTCCTCCCCAAGCCTGTAGCGTTGGCAGGGGTGATTGTGGCCAAAGTGTAAGACCTGGCATTTGGCCTTGTTGAAACTCATACCGTTTGCCTTGACCCATCGATCTCATCTGTCTAAATCCTTCTGCATGGCCTTCCCACCCCCAGGCAGATCAACACTACCAGCCAGCTTGGTGTCATCTGCAAATTTACCGAGGGTGCACAATCCCCTCATCCACATCATTGATAAAGATATTTTCTGGGTTCCGAACTCGTTACTGGTGGGCATCGCCAGATTTCATGGAAGAGTGACTCCTTATTGATAGAGGACAAATCTTGAGGCGACGTTTGTCATGAGCGGGAGGTTGTGAGCGTTTTCAAGAGAGGAGGATGCGAAAGAGCTCTGCAGACTTCCAGCTGCTGAGCTAGCGCGGGGTCGGAGAGAACAAAGCCTACGCGCCGACAAAGAAGTAAAGGACAAAAATATAGGAATTAGCGCGGATAGGGACAAGATTATGTTGCCCTTTCTGGATGACTTGGAAGAGCTTGAATGTGATGCAATAGGTGACAAAAAGTCAATGTAGGGAGTCAATAGGGACAATAGATGAGATGACTTTGCTGAGAAATCTTTGCAGTTTAACCATCAAGAAAAGTTTCCCTTTGAACTTTATGTTAAAAACGTGCTATCCTCTCTTTCTATTATAAGCTGCTGTTCCCTTTTAGGTAGCTCATTAATCTTCTTGAATCCCAGACCACAGCAAGATCTGCATTTTGATTTCTTTTTTTTTTTTTTTTTTTTTTAACCTCTTTTAAAGAGAAATACAATTTAATTGTTCAATCAGGTTACTGGAAGGCAAGCATGTGACACTCTCTCTTCTCTGAATGCCACACAGTTTCTTTTCCTGACAGCCTTATCCACAGGGATGGTTTTTTTTTTCAGCGGCAGCAGGGGGAGGGTGGCTTGTTAGGAAATCTTTTTCCTGAAAAGATCTTCAAAGAAACATATGCATTAAAAAAAAAAAAAAAAAGAACTTCTGAAAGTTTGGTTCATGCTAACTTTTTGAAATAAGAATTTAATTTAAATAGCCTTAAAATGTGTGAAGATCAGAGTGATGCTTTGTCATTAACCTCTTTCATTTGGACTGAAATAGTGCAGTGCATAAGGTACACATGATCCCTCAGTGGGAGAAAGGGACCTGCTGTAAGTGATTTAGAGATGGAAGGATTAATTCTCGTGTCTCATTCCACTGAAATCGGAGGAGGAAGACTTAGGCTGTGTATTTTTCCCTTGAAGTTGAACACACAAATTGTTTGACAATTGTTATTAAAAAGAGGGGGGGGAAATAAAGCAAGTACGTAACTGAAATATTTCCTTTCCGACTAACATAGATGAGGCACCCCAGGTTGTTGTCAGAAGTACGATGTCAGAGGTGTTTTTCTCTGTACAAAACAAGAAATTGTCATCATTAAGCTTCTCATTTCTTCCCCCACCCCCAAGAGCCTATCTTGGCCATGTGCTGGCTGGGGGATTTACATTTTCCTTGTTGGAGCCTTCCTGCCATTTGTCAAATATGATGTTCTTTTTATAGACTGTCTTAAATAATGGGGGTATATTTTAAAAACAAGGACATTTATTCTATAAGCAGCTGAGTGACTGAACCCTTGTTCCTCTCGGCTCTGTCTCCTTTTATTCCTTAACTCCTTTCTTTCATTAGCCCCACTTCTCACCGTGTCTCTAAACCTGCTCCATCCCCCTCGCTTCTTTCTTCCCGGCACCCACCAGCACCTGCCTGTATCCCCAAACCACCCGCTAAGCAAAAAGCAGCATATGCCATGGCTGGATCAAGCGAAGAACGTAGCGAGCGAGATGCCCCGTGCCGTGG